CTTTCTCTCTCTCGCTTTCTCTCTCTCGCTCTCTCTTTATCTCTTTTTCTGTCCCTGTCTCTCTTTTTCTCTCTGTTTCTCTCTCTCTTTTTCTGCCTTCTCTATGTCTCTCTTTTTGTGGTTTGCCTTCAAGGCTTGTCGTGCTTGCTCGACTGCTTGTTTGATCTAGCTTGCGTATCTTGTGTCTTTAATTTTCACTTTGGCTGGTGGTCCAAACTGTTGCCGGTGCGACATTGCGTTTGCCTCTTATACGCTTTACAGCTTCCACATATCTCCACATCATGGCGCATCCCCGCCGAAAGCCACTAAGCGCTGTCTCGTTCAGTGGATCGCAAAGTTTGCATGAAACCTAATGCTTGCCGTTGTGGGCATGGATCTGTGCTTCTAACCTCGATCTTCCTTGATTTGTCCGCAAGAGGGAAGTCCATGGTCGCCTCGGTCCGGGAGGGAAAATGAAAAGATGTTATGGCCGTGGCGTCGTACAGCCCTCGGGCAGTCGTTCATAAATTTTCAATCAATTCCGGGCTGTGTGATGGTCTGTGGGCAAATCATGCTGATGCCTCTTCCCTCGACAGGGGCGAAAGTCGCAGCGCAAAGCTGGATTTTGTCGGAAGGGGTTCCGAGGGTCCATCATCCACGATGCTATAGACCAAGCCCTTCAATCCGCGTGAAAGCTTCTCCGTATATAACTGCTTATCCGATCACTCACCACCGTCCAAGTGTTTATTCCGTTTGCTTTGTGTGATGGTTTCGCTTTCGTCTCCATTCGGTCAGTATAAACAAGAACAAGAAAGAGAGATAACCGATGAAGAGATGGGGGACAGTGCTTTCATCACCAGCAGTCGCGTTTTCCCGCCACACTGCACATACATGTATATGTATACATACCGACATACACATAAATGCTTATGTAGAAACATACATATGTGTATAAGTGCTAAAATATACATGTGTGTGTATGCGTAGGCGTAGGTATGTCTAGGTATGTAAATGTACGACGTATGCATGTACATGATGTACACATACGTCTATGCATGTATTTCACATGTATATTCCATGTTAATGTCTAATCTATGTGGGCATGGGCGGGTGTGTCGATGTGTGGATGTGTAGATGTTTGTTCGTGTTGTGCATGTGTGTATGTGTGTGTATGCATGTCTGTATGTACGTACGTATGTCTGTATGTCTGTATGTCTGTATGTCTGTATGTATGTAGCAAAAAAGGATGTATGTATGTATGTATGCATGCATCCGTGTATGTATCCATGTATGTATGCGTATGTGTGAGTGTTTCGCGCTTGTGCAGGCTGATGACATCGCCAAGCTGTCGGAACAACTGCGCATATCATACGAGGAAGGCTTACAAACGGACCTTGCGGTCGCGAGGTCGAAGGCGCGGACGTCCGAATATCAGCAAGAGACTACGGCTACGTACATGTTGCTAAGTGCAGCTGGCCCAACAATCAGCAGGCACGGGAAGAGAAGTTACACAGTGAGCTGGAGCAGGCATTGCAGTGGGGATGGTCCAAGTGATTTGTTGCGCATTGCATATCAAGATTCGTCAGCAGGCCCAGCGGCTTTCCGAACAGCAGGTCTCCATCATCAACGACATTGAGGCTTTGCACGCTAGAATGACCCACTAAGGTAAACGAGTGGTTTCTGAATGTTTCTGGGTTTTCCGTCAGGCGCGCAATCGCCAGCTTGAGAAACAGTTGCCGCAGCTGCAGAAAATCTGCAACGAGGAAGCTAATGAGCTGGCCGCGCAACGAGTGCAGCCCTCGGTAGACCAATGATCACACGGCAGGCGGCAATGCAATGAACGGTTTGTCCAAGGAGTGCTTTGAGCAATCACACAAAGAGGAGCAGGGTGCATCCGGTTCGTACAGAGATGGGTTCTCACGATCTCGCAAGAATTCACATGCATTGCCAGGAGATGCAAACAAAAGATTTCGAGATTCAAGAACTGAGCCTTTCACTGAGTTTGGCTGCGTGCGCTTCTGTTGCAGCTTCACAGTTCACGGGCATGCTTGTCTGAGGCGCAGTGGAGCATGCCTCGGCCGAACGCGCTTCTACCTCGAAGACCGAGGAATTGGCGCGAGCCGAGGCCGTGAAGATGTGCAAACATGATCAAGAACGTGGAAGACATCCACATGCACATTCATCCTTCAAAGAACACATCATAGTCGCGAAGACAACCGAATAAACAAGCGTTCATGCAGACTTCCCAGAATTCTGTTGGACTTCGAGTTAAGCGACATATTTTGAAAGCCGACGGCTTTTCGAGCTACAGTACGTTGTGGTGTCGTAGTTGCTGGACAGCACAGTTGTGCGAAAATACGAACAGGAACAGAAGAAGGCCCTGTCCTACCGACACACCAATACACTATGAACGAACTAGAGTCAGCCGATGGCGTTTGGAGACGGTAAGCAAAAACTAGCAACCAGGAGAATCAACAATGATGCAGAGGACAGCTCGCACATTCAAAAGGTCAACACGGACATGGGTTTGTAATTTTACCGTTGGGTCTAGGAGCACGAGCTTCACAGGCTCGACTGGACAAACAGCAGCTGGAAATGGTCGCGAAGGCACGCCCGGTCGTGGGAATTGTGCGTTTCATTGGCCGATCTCATGAGCGCAGTTGGTGATGGCTTTGCGCTGGGTGCGAGGCCAACGACATCGCCCGGCTGAGGGAAGAATTGCAAATGTCACGCAGCGAAGGATTGCAGGGTGACTTGGTGCTTGCACGGGCCAAGGCCGCATACTGTCAAAATGCACGTGCATCCTTAGCCGGCTTGGCCCTGGATATTCATTGCTGAACCAATGAAGAGGCGCGTGAGGAGAAGCTGAGCAGCGAGCTCGAGGAGGTGACGAGCCAGTAACGAGTTCAGCAGAAAGCACAGCAAGTGAATGGTAGCATCAATACTCTGGGGTGGCAAGGTGAGATGGATTACAAACCACACAAGCACGGGCATGTTCAAGCGCATGCGCACGGCACCTGCGCGTGCGCACACACACACACACACACACACACACCGACACTTTCTCAACGGCTGGTCGCACTCATTGTCATGGTTGGTAATGAAACAAGGGGATGCTGATGGTGATGATGAGGAAAGCGCATGTTTCGTGCGAGCCAGGAGGAATGGCAGACAAAACAAGCCAAGATGAGATGACTGCTTGAGACCCGAGTGATTCAATCACACAGCACGAGGCGAGATGAAAGTGAGGTATGTTTTCCTGGGGTGTACAGGAGAGCTTCTTTGGACGGAGCTCCCTTACAATTCCAATTCCTTTAGACCCCCTTCGTCTCCTGATCTCCCTGAGCTCATGAACTAGGCAGTTCACACAGACAGACACACACACACACACGCACACACACTCATGGATTCGGCAAAAAGTAAGAGCAGAACAAGGAAGAGGCTGGAGTCATGTTGTATGTGATGAGAAGTTTGTGCCAAGTATACCAGACCGAAGGAGTGGCATACGAAAGCAAGATGAGATGATCCGTGAGGGGTGTGGTTTCGGCCCTTTGCTACGCCAGACACAAAGGAATGACGTAGCATGAAATGAAATGAAGGATGAACGACCATGAGGGTCCCGCCGGCTGCCCAGTATGGGGCCCGGCGCAGACCGATGCAGGTACGCTACCTGGAGTGTACCCCCTGCTCCCATGTGCTAGGGAGGATTTTTTGAGGGAGCCCTGCGCACGCTAGGGAGGATTTAGGGTTTGGGGTTTTCCAACCGTTCCTTGTTTAGTTTTTCAGCATCTCCCTTTAGGGTTCGGGGCTTTTCAACTATTGCAGCTTCTTTCCAGGTTTTGGGTTTCGTGGCCCGCGGCGGGCGGTCCTCGGCCCGCGGCCGCGCACGGCCCGGCAGCGTTGCCCCACCCGCGGCGTCGTGGCCCGCGGCCCGCCATGACCGGTGGTTAGTGGGCCCGCAGCCTGTGGCTCCGTGGCCCCGCTGCCCGCGGCCCGGGCGGCCTGCGGCCCGCGGACACCGAAAAACAAATTCTACCCTGAGCATGAAAACGACTGCCTACTTCTCTTCTCTTTGGATGACTTCTATCGCCTACAGTAACTAGAGAAGGTTTCCTAGGAGCCACAACATACCGACCTTCACTTACCTGGTTTCATTTGTGAAATCATGCGAAGGAATCATCTTTCAAGGTCTTGAAAGTCACCCAGGCAAGCAATAATACTGGTACAGACTTTCTTCCCGTCGCTCGACAGTCAGATAAGTCAAGAGCTTCGGTTGAGTCGATGTAAAAGTCAGGATGGTGGGGGCTCAGCTGGCGCCCAGAGTGAAGGCCATACAGAAAACAGTTTTGCATCAGATGTCATCATTCGCTTTTCTGATTTGTCTCGCATTTCTGATTTGCTGCTATGTCACTGTTTAGATTGCGAGACTCGAGGCTCATATCCACTGCATGACTGACATGTCAAGACTGTCATGTAAGCAAAGCACTGCACGCAAAGTCGAGTCCATCAGCACAACCACACCCAACACGAAAAACAGCAAGAAACTGCAAGCTGCGACATTTCAATCGCCCACGTCAGCTTCATTTGCAGGTACAGGAGGATGGGTCCAGTTTCCCTTCCAGCCCTGTTGTTCCATGGCCCCCTACGTCTTCAGACAAATTCTCACCATTTTACTACTTACTAGTCCTTTGCTACAGAGATGACACACACACACGCACGCACACTCTCGTACTTTCCTTCGCTTGTTCTACCTACTCGGTAATTTGCGGAAACATTGATTGATGAGCTATGGTGACATGCTGGAACGATAGCAGTTTCGACTAACAGATGGCTGCGCAAACTTGAAACACATAGACACACAACACGCACAAGTGCACACGCACACACACACACACACACACACACAAACACACAAACACACAAACACACAAACACACAAACACACAAACACACAAACACACAAACACACAACACACAAACACACAAACACACAAACACACAACACACACGCACAGAAACACACAGACACAGACACAGACACAGACAGACACAAACGCAGACACAGACGCAGCCGCAGACGCAGACCCAGACACAGACACATACGCAGACAGAATCAGACAGACACAGACGCAGACACAGACACAGACACAGACACAGACACACACGGAGAAGAGTGATCACCAGATTTAGAGTCGGCCGTCGGCCACTGTATCACCATAAAGTCGAAGTGGTTTCAAACCTTGGTAAGTATCGACCTGAAGCAAACAGAATGACCTGAAGCATGTAACTATGAAACTGAACTGTCAGCAAGAACGTTGCAGCTTGACGAAATCGGCTTCAGTCAGTGATATCAAAGGAAAGCAGAGGGTCTTCGTTGGTGCCAGCCTTTTGCGATCCCCTGGCACCCCCTGCAGTTTGCGAAATGGCTTTCTGAGTCATTCCTCGTAGACAGCGAAATGAAACTGGCATGAGTCTGTCCACGAACTTTTTAGCTTAGAATCAAGGCTTACACACGCACACATACGGGCGAAGACGGACGTACAGATACAGTGCTGTGCAAAATCTACTGAGTACACAGTGTCGGGTGCCTGCCAGCGTGTTCAACCTGTGATATCCCAACATCACTCAATCAGCATCAGACAGTGTCAGAGTGAGTAGATCATTGCTGCATGCTGCACACACAGAGTCGGAGCGGCTAGGTCAGACATATGTCCATCATGTTGAATCAGACAGCACATCACGAGTATACCCTCTGGAATCGGCAGTCAATAAAAAAGTACAGGCTAACATTCGCACTCGCACGTGCCATGGTTGCAACCGGGAGACTGCTCAATTAAATGCGACGGAATCATTAGCGGTGTTGTGCATCTCTGTTCGATGCAGTGAGCAGAATTTCGTGGCGATGCAGTCCAGGCATTGAGCCCAGGTCGAACGTGCTGCAGCTGATGCTTTGCACCAACTCGCCAAGTAGCATTCAAGCATGCAGCATGCCGGGGTCATTCGAAATGCATCTGGGGGCGCAGTTGTCCAAAGAGTCTGCCAGGCAAAGCAACTCTGCGGGCAACGAGGGGCCTTGGCTCTGGATTACGAGGCGTGGTGCTAGGAATAAGGTCCAACCTTGAGCGTTCCATACGACATCGAGGCGCAGCTCCACTTGTCGGAGTTGAGAACGGAAGAACTGGAGAAGAGCTGCAGCAAGCAGATGCAAGAACTGTCCATGCAACGCCAACTGGCATCGTCGTTGCAGTTGCAGCTGGAGGAGATATCAGAAGCTGAAGCAGTATCTGAGGGTGCCCTGTCCACCTCACTCCGTCTCGCACGGCTAGGTCGTGCATGGTCGTGTGGCATGTCGGCAAGCAGGACGAAGAGCGGAAAAACCAGACGTCATCTCAGATACAGCTCGAGGCGAGGCGGCATTGGTAAATCAGCTGCAGATTTCTTTGTACCAGCGCCATTTCTTGGTGTCAAACTGCGAAGCAAATGAGCTCGAAAGGTGCAAGCGAAGGATCTGGAGATTCAAAGTCTTCGTGCCTGGCCCAGGGAGCCCGAAGGTCTGGGACGTACTCGGTCCTAGGTCTGCAAAATTCTGCAAAGCTCGCATGGCGCAAATAATTTGCTTCGGCCTCGCAGGTGTTTGTTTCAACCGGGTGTTGGAAGTGTGGTTGTTGACTCTCCTGTGGCTTGCTGAAACCGGCCGCATTCACTTTTCAGGGCTTGGAAATTTGGGTGCGAGACGGCTCGTCACGAGACAGCGAAGCCTCGACATGTAAGTCTGGCATAGCCCTGTGCAGTTGCAGAGGTGCTGAGGTGAGCGCTCTTGCTCACGATGCCGCCTCGAATAACGAGGAATTGGCACAGGCCGAGGTTGGCTGCAAATTGAGCCTCACTAGCGTTGCGAGCGCGGCAGTTTCAATGGCTGCAGGCTGCAGCTTGCCAGGTGCTGAGGGCAGAAGTGGCTGCAGAGCAGGTGCTCCTTCTCCAAATTATCATGCAGGTGTTTTCCAGTCGAAATATGAAAATTGCAGGAAAAAGTCAGGCAAGCACACGAAGTCCTGCAAACTGTTGCAGGAGGCTGGAAGCGGTGTTGAATCCATGCCTAGTTTGGTTGCTTAGACCCTGTTGAAGTCACCTGCACGGAAGTGAGATATGTCGAAGGTGTTGCAGGAAAAAGCTGCTTGAAGTGCTGTCAGGTCCACCTCAATCGGCTGCTGCGCGGGCAGTCTCTGCTGCTGAACGTTGCAAGATATTCGAGGTCATTGCCCTTCATGAAATTGCGTCGATGAAATATCTGCAAGAGATCGTTCTTCAAACGACATGCTGCAAGGTGCTGACACTGTATAGCGGTCCAAGCCCAGTTTGCTAAAATGTCAGTAGCTGTTCAACTTGTCGAGCAACGTGGATCACGTGCCGCACACGCACGTGCTTCTTCCATCGCAGTAAATGCATCACCAACAGATCCTGTTTCTTATGTTGCGTGCGGAAGAGGTTGAGAAGTTGACAGCCAAGCAGCTTTGCACCGAAAGCAGGCCGCAGCGCAGAGCGACGCGGCACTGGCGTTGGCGCTTGGCGACCGCCCTCGGCCGGAGATCACTCAACTTCGAAGCGAAGGCCAGGGAAAGGCCTTGGGGCCTTGGGGCTAGCCGTGGCTAGCTGCCACAGCTTATTTGCTCCGCAAAGTGCCAGATGGCTCCACGCTCTTACATGCGGCTGCGGCTGGTGGATCACTACTCACTGCACTGGGCGCACTTCGTTCCGCCGGTGTGCCGCGACAATACGAGCTCCCCGGCAGTGTATGCCTGACTGATGAAGACGATAGACTGTTCTATGGAATCGGGGGCGGCTGGTTTATTCAGTGTGTCGCTGCTCTTCTGGATTTGGCTGCTTCCTGCAAACCCAATCAAACGCCTGACTTTCCTGCCTTCAGCATATCCGGCTACTGGCATTAGGACCCTTGCCGAAATGCTGCGTGTGCCCGACCTTTCCTGCACCTCTATCTGTTCGACCAGAGTTTATCCTAGCATGCTATCCAGAGCCCGGCACCAACATACGAACTTGCTTCCTTATGCACTTATGCCCTCGAAGTTTGTGAATAGCAATCGGAAGCCTGCCAAGTCCTGGAGTGTGATGCACAGCACGTCTTGAGCGGTTCCTCTGCAGTTGCAACCACTACCAGGCTGTCAAACAGTTCAACGACTTTTGAGTTGTATCTTTCGTGCATTGGGTCGGGTGCACTCCAAGGCTTCACATTGCCTGCAGCTTTTAGGTTGGCATGGTATCTCCACAAGCCAGCAAGTTCTCACAACGATTCCAATACCTGTCTATTCCAAGCGGCTGTGCTACGCTGTGCTTACCCGGGCGGTGCCATGGGCTGGGGAAGAACCTAGACTGCTGTAGGTGTCTGGCCTGTCCACCGCCCTTCCCCAGCTTGGATAAGATCTCAGGCACGATCTTCAACAGGAACTGCTCCGACACGAGTCGCCGGGCACCAGTCATGACAGGTTGCCTCAGAGTTTTTCTATGTTTTTCTATTTGTTCATCCCTTCCGGGTACCCTTTGTGTCAGTATCAGTTGAGGCATCTGTCCTACGTCAATGCGCGTGACTGCGAGCAGCGGTCCGCACTGCTTTGCCACTGCCAGTCGGCAGCGATTTCTGCCCAAAGCGTGGCGGCGTTGCTGGAACTCCAGGCGAACCCATCCTTTGAGGATTGGCTTGCGCGGTGTACCCAGCAAGACATGTAGGATCATGTGGTAATCATCGGTTTAGCTTTGCATTGGTGCGCGCAGGACGGCCACGGCTGCACACCCTTCCTGGCTTGCGCCACTCGTGGAAATTGCCACATGGTTCCACTTCGAGCACATTTCTGCAGTGCTGATTCATGTCGTCGAGTGTCTGATGTCCACTGATATTGATCTCGATGTCGACTAATGACTAGCAAAAGCTCGAAAGTATCAACATGTTCTCAGGCATGCTTTCACGGCAAGGTAGTCCGTGCAAGTGCTTTAACCTCTCGGTGAGTAGCTGTGGCTATAAATTGCAGAGTCGCCCATTGTAGCCCTGTCGGTGAGTAGTTGCGGAGCACCAGATGGCCTCAAGTTTTCCTGCCATGATTTGTGCTTTCCTAATTCTAAGGTGAGGTCATGATGTTGCTGCTTCGAGCAACAGGCACGTGTGCGCTTTGTAGTGGACGAGAGCCTTCGTAGCTTCGAATGTTTCTCTCGCAGTATTTCCGTGACGGGTGGTTCGTACCCAGTCGCGTCTTGGCGACAGGAGGAGCTGTTCTCAGAGCAGCTCGACTAATCTGCAGGCTTTTCGCACAGCCCAAAGGCGAAATGCGTATTCCTTTGCGCCGTTTTGCTCTAGACACGATGAGAATGTCAACGCAGATAAGGACTCGGATGAGAATGGCTGGACAGCGCTACACTCCGCAGCCTCAAAGGGCCATGCAGATGCTGTGCAGCTGCTGCTGCAGGCCTATTCACATGGCAACATGTTTTACGATTTGTGCCCTTGAAAATTACCTGTGTTGACGTTTGGTTCGTCGGTGTTGCGCTGCTGATACTGGAGGCCATGGCAATACATGGCAACCCGTAGTCGTAGCCCAAAGAGCAGCGAAGAGTTTCCCAGCCTGGAGTGGGCTTCCATTGCCAGTGGGGGCACCAAGGGCTGAAACGGATTCTGATCCTTGTGATTTGGGCCTGCTTCAAGATTTATGCTCGAGGCTGGAAGGAAGCATTCTTGAGCCTTCGCTCTGGACAAATGTGTTGGAAAATATGTACGGGGCTTCATGTCTGTCCTTGTCGACATGCAGCGGTAGCTTGGAGCCGAAGAGTGCCATCTTGCGAACCCTCAGATCTGATGCGACCAATCGCGTTTCTATCCGCGCTGGGGTGACCTGCCGCACCGTTGCAGACTGTGTGCTGTTCATGCACGCCAGGTGAGTGCAGATGCTGTGACTTGGTAGCAGCTGGTACATGGCAGATCATGCGCAGCCCTGCATCGCATGCAATGCCGGGGTTCTGGCGTTCAAACAGGGGCTAGGAAGCTTTGATGGCCGCAGCTGAAACTTCTCCCCAAAAAAGCTTGCCGATCTCTTGCTCCAAATGCGTGAGATCCAGGAGCTGCCTGACGCGGCTGGCCGCCGAGCAGCCGATCTTGCTCGTTGCGTTCCTGGGTTGAAATTGCGAGCTGCTTGCCAACCTGTGGAGTCCATGCATTGACAGGAAGACGTCCTGAAGCTCCTGACGCAGCAAGACGAGGCCGGAGCTCTCGTTCTGATTATCTTTGTGTCTGCCCTTGAAAAGCGGATCATAACACAAATCAGTGGGACACATGTCATGCAAGGCCTGGGACCGTAGGAGTAATGGGCACGACCAAGGTCGAGACTTCTGCTGCTGGGCAGTCGCAGTTCTTTGCCTCAGTGTCTGGCCTTCTGCATAGGCTTGGTGAGACATCGACATGGCATATGACCAACGACGGCAGCTGCTCAGGCCGCGGATGCCACGCCAGGAGAAGGAAGAGGACCCCACCCATTGCAAGTTCCGCCTCATGGTGGTTTCGATTCAACAATCGGGAGGAGGCCGTCGAATGCAGACAGGAAGAGACAGATCCTGAAACGAGGCCGGCGGGAAGCTCCCATCACGCTTTGCCTTCACCTTTTTCATTACATCCTGCTTAGGGAGGCATTCCGAAGCTTCACTTCATGCTTCGTTATGCTGGCCCCATCCAAGAGCCCCTTCTTGCGAGTGGCACGTAGCCACGCGCCATTCGGCTATTCTCAATCGTTTATTTGACAAAAACTCACTGGTCCTCCTTTGCAGGAATCTGGCTCCAACCAGTCCGACAAGTCCAAGCAGCCCGGGCAAATATACCGAGGACGCATCATACCACACCGTCATGGCACTGGATGCGCAGCTAGAGGATTGCATGTTGAACTGTTCGTGCACGGGCCACACGTGTCAGGCTTGTCTGCCAAAGTGCAACTTCAAGATTACACCGTTCAGGAGTCCGGCGATGAGTGGTAGTGGCTCTGGGCAGTCAGTGCGTCTTGTGTCATTGAAAAAGAACGGACTCCCTTTCGCAGCCCTTTAAAAAGCGGGGCGTGCTCAAGCCATGCGGTATCAATCCTGAGGCAGATGCCCGTAGATGCACCCTGGTTCATGTGGCAGAAGCGAGCTTGGAGACAGTCCGTGTCAATTCAATTCGTGATGTCGCCAAAACAGCTGTCCAACGACGGAGCATGTGCGCAATATCCAAAGCATCGAACATCCCCCATGTCTACGATTCTAGGATGATCCACGACTACTATTGTTTCTACTGCAATGCGGCAGAAATGGGGCTTTCTGGTCGGACTGCTTTTGGGCCTCGCCGCGGCCAAGCGCTGCACCAAGCATCTCACATCCCTGAAGGCCTGGATGCAGCCTTCGCAGGCAAAACACATATTAACATTGCTACCTGAACAAGGGCTGGGACGAGTTGTGGTGACAAAATAACATGGCAGGGCGACAGGAAGGGGTTGTGGGGAGTGGGCCGAGGCGGGTGATGCTTGCTCGGCAACTTGGAGAGAACTTACGGCATCTGGCTGGAACGGAGACGAAAGATTGGCAGGCCTGGTGATGCCTCACACGATGATGACGCTGAGTGCCTGCCTGTCCTTGCCCCGCACAGGGCCATTACTACTCCCTACGCAGCCGTCGATCGGCTATGCCTGGGTGCATGCCCAGCACGAGAAGTATTTCATGTCGAAGAAGGATGCGGCCAAAGAGCTCAAGATGCTCAGCTGTAATCAGTCGGCTTGGTGGTCTGCTTCAGCCCATGACTTCAGGGGTCTGTTGTTCTTGAGTCTGATCCGCTCCGCCCTTTGGCCCGAGTTTAGGGTTTTGGCGCAGTTACCGCAGCCTGCAGCCTTCGATCTGTTCCACCCTTTCGAACACATGGCTGCCCGACGCTCCGGTGTGGCTTCGGATGCATTGAACATTTGCTCGATCCTGCCCGAGACATGTAGGACGTCCGGAGTTCGTAACATGTCGAGGCTTTCTGAACCCAAAGCGACCATCGAATTTGGTGGCGCTCGCTCGTGACTGTTGCTGCTTGCAATGAACACCCAGGCACTGGCGGCGCTGGTGTTGGTCGCAGCGAGCTTCCTGGCCCTTCAGGATCGACCGGCACATGTCAGAGAAGCCAGCACGTTCCAGTCTGCACCGCGAGTCACATGCTTCTGCCTTTTCGTGGCTTTCGTGTGGGTATGCAGTTCCGGTTCCTCCCAAGCCTCGGCGTCCGGTATTCTCTTGAAGGATGTATGAATGCACTGAAACTCGAGGGCAGGAGTGGGGCGAGAATGCGGTTCTCTCAGCGACGGAACAGTTGTGACGCCATAATCGGTTTCGATTTCCTGTCCTCAATTTTGTTTCGCAGGCCTTCGTCAGCCCATCGAAGGAGCACGGCCTCCGCGGGTCAGACGACTGTAGATGGATCATGATGGGTCTGAAAGCTCCTTGAGGGTCTGCTGCTGGTTACCAGTGCTTGGCAATGATGCTGTGTGTGACGCAGGAAGCAGCAAAGCTCGCAGCAGGAGTTGTTCTGGCAACCCCGGAGGCGGAGGGTTGCCGTTCACCAGATCTCTTTTTACTGTGACCTCTGCAAATACAAACCATTCAGGCCTTTGCAGAGCTTATTCTCGCAGTTATGCTCTGTCACTGGACTCTTACTGAAACTCGACCACAAACTTTGGACACCGTTGCTGCCACCCCTACCAATCCGTCCTTTGCGACTTGCATCTGGGCCACGGTTTGATCCTCGTCGAAATTTTGCTATCAGCCCTAATCTATGTTCTTTGCCAACCCGTTCGCTACAGGTAGAGCCAGAACGTTTAAACCGTGATGCTTATCACACGCACCGGTTGTTGTATGGCCTGCACCTGCGCACTTGCGACACCTACAATCTGTTGCATCCTACCCACTATATTTGGCAATGTCTGTTAATGCGATAGCCTAGATAGATTATACGTAAAAAAATAGATGCATGCAGGCACGCAGCTCCCCCTTCAACTTCGACTCGTATGTCATTCGAACTGAACTGCTGCTCGTGTCTGGAAGCAGTCTGGAACGGTCGACTGAGTCAGAATGCAGGATATGTTCTGCTTCTGACTCGTGCTGGTATGAAGGTTGCTACGCGCTTTCCATCCGTTCTGAGGCTTTTGTGGCATTGAGGGTTGTGTCCGTGTCTTTCTATCCTTGGCTCGGCAATGTCGCAGCAGCGTTTGGAATGTGTTGCGATGTTGCAGTAGTGCTTGATGAGTAATTACGCTAAGCCGCAAGCTGATTTGCAGGTGGCGCATGCGCGCCTGCCAGAGGTGCCGGAAAGTTGCTGTGTGATGTGATCGTTCATGTGCATGTCACTGCTTCGGGGGATCAGGAGTTTGTAATCTTCGCACCCATCGTCGACGTCCTGCCGATTCTGCCAGTCTTCTTTTTCCTGCTTGCTTTCTTGTGGCAGGCTCGGTGCCACTTGCGTGTTGCATGGTTCCGCATGAAACGAGCATAACGCGCGGCATAAGCCGGGCCACGCGCCGTGTTACTGAACCGCCGGATTGATCCATGCATGCGCAAAAACGTCCTACTTCGTTTGCGCAGGCTGCTGTCGGCTTCCGCTGAGCTGCATGTCCAACAGCCTGGCCATGCTGCATTGTTGCCGCAAGGCATTGGGCATGGAGCCGGCATGTCTCTCAAAGTGCTGACCAAGTGTTTGAAGACACATGCAGATACTTTTTGAGGCGCCTTTCAATTGGAGAAATGTTTGAGTCTTTGAGCCAGACCGGACCATTGCAAGCTCCAATTTGGTGCAGAAACACTGCGCTGAATTCAGGGCGTGGGAGGGACATGCTCAGAAGTGCAGTTGTGCTCTGCTCGGTATCTCTCTCGAAGTACACGGGTACCTGCTAAGGAAGGCACAGTTCCCGGTCGTCAGATCCTCAGGCTTGTGATGCAGGGCGAGCGAGAACATGCTGAGCACATCGGAGCTTGTCTGCAAGAACCTGCCATCCAGGTTCTCGGTGGCAGTCACTTCTACTTGACGGATCGCCACCATCACGCAGCGGCACTGCAGCTTTCTGGCGACGAGGCCGGATCAAGGCCGTCCTTTGGCTGGGTTGACATTCGATGAAGCCGTGCTCAGTGTTACTCTCCAGGATATTTTCGACCTTGATATGAACATTCTGGTTCCTGAGCCGCAACATAAGACTCAAGCTGCCAGAGGTTAGACAGCAAGATCTGTGATGATGCATCGAGCCAAAGGTCGTTTGTGATCTTCGAAGTCTAGGCTGCAGCTATTCAGATGCTCTTGCCATCATGCGAGTACAAGAGTTGGATCGAGGTAAAATGGGAAAGCAACAGCGAGAGAGACAGAGCGTGAGCATGCATAAGCACGCTCTTGCGTGGGTGTGTTTTGGGCGTAAGGGTATCGTACCAAACAGCCGTAAGGAGGAGCACCAACAAGGCCCGCATAGGGGAAGGGGCCGCTGCTCCGTCGTTTAGTCCTGATGAAAAAACAGAAAGAGAAAGAAGCCCAAAAGAAGAGAAGAGGAAGAAGAAGAAGAATAATAGATAAGGTATTTAGGGTCAAGTTGTCCACACTTCATCGGACTCGCGCTGCTGCGGGGCGGCGAGCCGCACTGGTTCTAGGGTGTGCTGCAGAAAGAGACACGGGGGAGGAGCCGACGCTCTCGACACGCCGGGGTTCCCCGTTGCTTCCACGCTTTTCTTTTCCTCTGCTAGGCCTTACCTCAATTTTGAAAGCTCAGCCTCACGACGTCACAAGACGTCATACAGTCAAGTGAGGAAGTTCTGGGTCAGCTTGAGGGCATGCTGTTCCTCCTGCTGTTCCTCCCAAGACATGCTCTCTTCATCTTCGACGCGCGGAACTTGTATCCTTGTATTTCAGAGGCTCATGTCACATTGACAGGAAGATGATGAGCACTAGATGAGCAGCACAGAAACTGTGACACTCGGGACCCGTCGGTAACACAGAATTCCTACCTGTATCTGTATCTCCCTTGGATCTCGGATATCATGTCATCCGCCGAGCGGGGGTGAACGTTTTGATTCTTCCCGCTCGTAGGGCAACGGAGAACATGAGCTCTTCTACGACTACGACGCGGGGCACGAGGACGAGTTTTACAGGATAGTGACCTGATGGTCAGACAAGAAGGAAGGAGCGTAGCATGGGAGCCATTTTGGCTTAAGCTCAACATGGGGGAATTTTTTGGGGGCGGGAGCATCCTGTGCCGTCGGGGGTGCTCACCCCGACCCATCCTTCCGCAAGCTGATCCCAGAAATCACGACACTTCGACGACTCCATCGAGAGTGACTGCAAGACCGTCTCTTCTCCCTCGTCGCTTTCGAGGGGCACCTTTATAAGTTGGAGAAGCCCTTCAGGACAACGTGCATCGCATGGCTCGCGACATGTATAAGCCAGCCTCGTGATCCACTGAGTGGAGTGAGAAAGCATTGAGCACCAACAACTAGCAGAACCAGCATTGCCTGTAAAGCGAAACTTCGGCCCTCCTTCCCGGTGGAAAACCTTCACACTTCGGGGGCATCATTGGACCTACACCCTTTCAAGCCAAGACAGATCCCGAGCAAGCCCCCGGCGAGGAGCGGGGGGAGCATGTTCTTACCAAGGCCCTCAGCCCCAGATCTGAGCTTTGTTGTGTGACTCGTTTGCGAAGATAACCATACCCGCTTTGTGCAGGTGAGGGCAGGTTGACAGCTTGTCTTGCTTCTCTGTCCGTACAGTCGAGTCGGTGGAGCATAAACTCGACAAGGGCCATCATACCTGCCAAGGGCCGGAGCACAGTTGCGTGCGAAGGGGGGCCGGGGTGGGGCTCGAGCCTTCTTTCATGCTTGGTAGAGAGCAAGCAAGCCTTCATACACCGTGTGGGGGGATCCAACAACCAACGCAGTCAAGAGAAGAGCGGGAGCGGGCATGTGCAGAGAGTTTTCATTTGTGCCACTACCGTCCCTGAAAAAGGTCAGATTGATCTACGTAAACTTGTCGTAGAGCGTACTGCCGCAAGCAGGTGAGGATACATTCTGGGCGGAGATGATCAAGCGAAAATACGTTTACCTCGAGTCCCGTGAGACTCGGACCCAGAAGGTATAGCCGACTTCATGCTCGCTTCTTTGTTGGGTATGGGTAGCTTATAAGCATTCAAGTGTGGTGGGAACTTGGGAACGTGGTCGATGCGCACGATTGCTTGGATGCATCACACTTGCACCTCGCCGGTGCCCCGTTCCTAGCCAGGAATCACCGTATGCGCTGCCGCACATGGTGGGTCCCGATGTGCTTGCAAGTGGATGGAGACCTGGCAGCAGACGATTTTGGGGCTTAGCGTGGCGAGGCCCACAGACTTACGTGACTTGTGCGGCCCAGGGCTCTGGCGAATTTTGAGGACAATCTGTGGCGGAGTTTGGCTGGCTTTGCTTCGCACGTGAACGATGCCTCATCGCGCTGTTACATCAAGTCCTGTGACGACTCTTGGAAGCTCAAGATTAGATATTATTGTTTACAATGCTTTAAACAAATCTCACGATCAGGTGCTTCGGGTGGGTGCATGGTCAAAGGCGGGGTTGCGCAATGTGGCGAGCATGAACATGCGATCTGCATCGAAGACCTGGCGGTAGGATGTAGGAGTGTAGGGAGTATTCGCAACCTTACGGCAGCCGGATTCATGCACTTTGATTCTCGTCGACAGCGTCCGAAGCTCCAACGGGAGGTGTACTTGTTATTATTAATATATACGTTCTGTGGGTCAAGCTGGGCAGTACGGGCAGCAACCGAGTCCCTTGTGAAAAAAATCTACGTTCTGTTTTGGATACATTTTTCTTGGCGTGGGGGTGGGGGCGGGGCGGCGGGGGTGCAGGGAGGTGCTTACACAAAACTACGGATCAGGAGACTCAGTGCGCTGGGTTATAAGTTATATAAGTGCTTTGCTTGGGGCTCTAAGGTTAGTTAGACGTCCACTGAGCCAACACAGCTCTTTACGTACACTAAACTGAAATAAACTGAACCAAACTCTGGCCTAGACTGGCACCCACAGCAAAATCCTGCATGAAACCGATATGGCATAATATGACGCATAGTTCTTTCGTAGCCTATAAAATATGATCTATCTATATATATATATATATATATATTATATACACATACATAGAGAGAGAGCGAGAGAGAGAGTACACGGTATACGCATACTGTGCAAAATAGTTTAATTGTGATAGAAATATAGCTAAGTTCGACAATAGAAGACCGGCCAAGCTTGCTAATTTTGCTTGACGCGAGAGCCCCGCAGCTGGCTATGCTGGCTGCGGGTGCTGAAAGACGGCTGCAAGCGGCAGTGGCATGGCATGACGCATGTCACATTGGACACGTGCGATGTCGAGGCTGGGCTTGAGCGGGCTTGATGATGGGTTTAGAGCAACCGGGGTAGTCTTCTTTGCGTGGCTTCCTTCAAGAGTCTTGCCTGAATCAGCATTCTACTATGTGCTTGTCTGTCGTGGCGAAGCCACAGCATTGCCAGCTCTGACCGCCTTGGCTTAAATCACATTTTATCTTCTCGCCGGCTCATGTTTCCGGGTCTTTCGCGTTTCCATTGCACGCCGGCCTCCGACCGTCCTTCTTCCTTAGCCAGAAAGCGCCCAGGAGTTCTTTGTGGACTTTCAATGGGGCTATGCCATAAACGTGGCCACCGAAGCCCAGCAGCTCATGGACTTGATGGAACTGGTTCCAAAGGCTCACGAACACCTTCTGAAGCTCAGCCTGCCTGAACCCAGGAGTACAATACTACGCTGTGGCCAAGCGGCGATCAGCACGCAGCTTTCCAACGGCTTCTGCACAGCCTGCCGTACCCATCGTATCTAGCATCGCAAGCAGGTAGTGACAGAAAGTGGTTTCATTTCGGGGCGTGGGAAGAGACGGCCTGCCGGTGGAGCAAAATCCGAGGTTGAAAGACGTGGACTTGCAGGACTGGAAGGAGCTCGGGAGTATGCAACAGATCATGCTGAACCGGCTAGCAGTGGCATATTCATGTTCGTCGAGATACTGTCCCCGCGTGTGGGACTGCTTGACCGTAGCAGGTTCGGATAGCAGATCTGATAGTAGGCGCTTGTAGTGCATTGCAAACTGCAGAAGCTTGGTGAGCAGCTGCTGCCGCTTTGCCACGGGCCAGCTCTGCACTCCTATCCGCTTCCAGCAGGCTGGATGGCAGAGATTGCAGCGGCAAGCTGACAGTTCTGAGCCAATCGTGCAACTTCCTGTTGAGACTAACTTTATTCGAACCAGCAGCTCTACTTCATGCTTCTCCTTTTGTCCGTGCTGCGGGAGAGCTGAGAAATATCGCAGGGCCTGCTTCCCGTACTCAAGGCACGGACGGTCTGCCTAGGGTCGTTGCTCCCAGCTGAAAGGTTTTCCATCGACGCTCCAGGGCTGGTCGGCTGTGCCGCTTAGCCGCATTCGTTTGTGAATGTATTTCTTACTGCGTCAGCTAGGCGGCCATGCCACCAAATGCTATACGATCCATAACCCAATGCCGAGGCCAGTACCGGATGACCCCAGCTGCAAGTACGAGTCGTGCACAAGTGCCAGGACGTGGCAATTAGCGGGGAACCTTCGGTTGTTCTGCTGCTAGACGCTTGTGTTACTTACGTTGTGGATGGCTTTGTGGAGCTAGCCGGGGCAGGCCTTCATAGCACCAGCCATCTGCGCAACCTGCCAGGATGAATGGCCAGGAAGATGCTCATGGATTCGTAGTCTAGAACTCTTTGCGAGAAGAGCCAAAGGGCCTAAGGAGTGTGCACCACGCCGCTGGACTCTCCAGGGCTGAGGCCACGGTTTGCACTCAGTACTTGAGCCGCTAGTGCAACTATAGCGCCCTTGTCAAAAGGACTGCATCGTGCCAGCTTCCCACCCTTGCAGGACATGGAAGGTGTTTCGTACGAAAGCCTATTGACGGATAGCTGCTAACGGTTTCTTGACGTTTCTTGGTTCGCCAATTGCCTGCGGCTCGAGCTAGCGACTGGGGTCTCGAAAGGCAGCTCGATCACAGCGTACATGATCGTTAATTGCTGTCGCAGTGAAGATCCGTTGACACGCCAAGTCTGCCAGGGAGGCCGAGCCATGGCCATGATGCGGATGGCGGCAAATGCCACCGTCGCCTTCACACTGACCGTCGCAGTGGAGCCCAGGAGCCTTTCGGCTTGTCCTCTCTCCAGCAGCTTGCGGTTGTGACGGAAGAGCAAGCAGGCCGCGGGCTCCGGATTGACATGGTAGTTGATCTAAAGCTCCTCGAGCCATAATTTGTACAAAAGACCAACTGCATAATTAGCCAAAAATGCTGCCGTACTATCACGTTCTGTACTTTTACTATTGCTGTTACTGCCACTGTTACTATTACTAGTAATTACTAGTACTAGTACTGTGACGATGGCCATTGCTATTTCTTCTTGCTTTTGTGGTTACGATAATTTCTATTATTACAAGGTTTCTGCGACCATGTTTTGCCTGCGCTTGCTGGCAGATGCCGAAGCTTTCTGCCGCCGCGTCTGTGGGGGCCTGATGGTTCAGCTATGAAGATTCGGAAACGATCCTCGCAGCTGGTTCAGGCATTACTCGAAGACGCCAGCTCGCTGTCGCCTGAATCAGCAGGCGGGGCATCTGGAGCGCTGATGCACGCGACACACGATGCTTGTGCCCTTGTCAAGGCTTTCCATCGGCAGGACGACGCCGATCCGGAGACTTTCTCACGAGCTTCAAGGTGCCGTGTGTAGCTCACATGTACGTACTGCTTCGTTGTGCAAGCAGAGCAGAAGTATGCCGTGAGCTGTCCGCAGCATGATGCAGCCCAGAGTTCGAGCAAGTGCGATTGGCAATAAGATCTAAATCGTGATCTGTCATTATGTGTTCTTCTTACAACCAGCACACCTTTGGACGGGTGAGGATTCCACACTCAGTGTCACTGCAGCAAGTGCCGGCAGCCCTCAGCCAGCTGCCTGTGCATCGCTCTCCCATGGAGATACGTCATCGAGGTTCCATGTCGAAGGAGGCCAGCGGGCCAGGGCCAGATGCGACTCCCTTGAAGCCGGACCTCCACGGAGTCCTACAGCACAGATTGAGAAGTGTCTCGCAGGAGTCGGATGAGCTTTTGATGTACACTCCTACTGCCATTCAGGGTTTGAACCAGATGCCAGAGCTCATGCCACGCGAAACCTCGCCTATCAAGGAGGCAAAAGTTGAAGGGGTGCCATCCCTCAAGTCGAAAGTCAAAGATCTGCATGATGATCTTGAGAATTGGGGGTACAACAACTACCCCGTAATTACAGATCACTTTAACTTCCTGGTGTATGGCATCGATCTCGCAGTGAGGAGCGTCAGGTGGTTCCAGTTCGGCTTTGCTGCATGCTGGCTGGGCTTTCGCCTTTGTGTTTATGCCATAATGCTGCTGCCTGCTTTTGTGCGGATTATGCTGACGTATTATCACGATACTCGAATTCATCGGCGCATCCGCTTCGGACCGGCAGAACGCGAGTACCTTGACATCTATGTGCCCAAGGAGGCCACGAAGGAAGGTGCCAAAGTCCCGGTGGTCGTGGCCATTATGGGTGGTGCCTTTATTATCGGCCATCGCGGCTACAATGCGCAGCTGGGGCTGCGGCTGATGGATTTTGGCATCATTACTGTGGGTATCGACTACCGGAATTTCCCGCGAGGATCCATTCCCGATATGGACGCTTTGGCTGCGCATGCAGAGCATAAGGATAAGACGGGCACAGGGGGTGCAACAAACCACCTCAGGGCCTGGGAAAGCGGATGTGTAGCGGGAACTGAAGTAACAGCTGCTAGATCTTCAGGGCTTTTGTTCTAAGGTGGAGGATGTCAGCCGGGGCGTGCGATGGGTGTTCCAGAACATTGAGCGCTATGGTGGCGACACGTCCCAGATCCTACTGATGGGACAAAGTGCCGGTGCGCACTTGGCTGCCATGCTCCTCTTAGAGCATTCTTTGCTTGAGGCAAAACACCTGGCAAAAGCTGGGAAGGATGAAGCCGACAATTGGTCAGTGAAGGACTTGAAAGGATTCTTGGGAATTTCAGGACCTTACCATCTGCAGAAGCTCGGACCTCACCTGGCATCTCGGGGCCTGTATCCAGGCATCATGAACCACATGACGGGTGGTGACCTCCTGGGATGCTCACCGGAAGCTTTGCTGCAGCAGGACGACTGGAAGGCTTTGGGTGACAAAGCGGTAAACCTCCTGCCTCGAATCCACCTCTTCCACGGCGACCAAGACGCTCGGACTCGCTTATACAGTATGTCGCGGGTTGCAGCGGTTGACTTTTGTTATTTCTGTTTGGTGTTGAGTGCTTGTGGGAATTGCTGCGGCTGACAAGGACAAAGCTGTCCCGGTTTGGTCTTCCGTGCATTTCGCTGGTGCTCTAAAGGACGCCGGCGCCAAGAAAGCAGTACTCGACGTGCGAAAGGGCATGACCCACACGTACCCAGTGTCTGGGACAGATTGGGGTTGTTGAATACTAGTTGCCCATATCATGTTGCGGGAACTTGCCTACAGGGTTGGAGCTTCGAGGCCTTTTTTGGCAGCTAGTGACAGAGATCCCAGGTGGTGGAAGGACCGATGAAGCGACATGATCCACAGGTGGAGATCATCTTGCCAATGCTTCTCGGACCCGGGGCTGAGAAGCGCCTGGAGACGACACCGAAGCTACCTCCCATGGCAAATCCCCGCATCATCGACGCCGCTGGTGTCGTGTCTCCGTTCTAGTTTTGGGCCAGTTGGCACGGAACTGGGAGAGGATGCAGCCGCAAGGGCAAGCATCTTCCAAATGTGCACACTTCGTTTTCCGAAGCACATCTCGAATTAGCAAGCGGGCGGTCGATTTAGGTTGGAAGTGACCGGAGCAATCGTCCTGCAATTCAGCAACTCTTGCAATGCTCCAGAGGGGGAAGGGAATCGATTACGCTTTTCTCATGCTGTTCCCGATTGGCCTTGCCTTTCCCTCCCTGCGCGGCTTTCCTGCAGCAGCACGAAGGTGCTGACTTAGACTGTTCTAGTTTTGGCTTAGTGCCGCAGCATGCGCTCGAAGTCAAGCAGCTGCAAGGGTGGAAGTGGCAGAAACATTGTGGGTTCCTTGAGGAGTCTGTTATCCGTTAAGTTCGAAGCCAGATCAGGACCTCAAGACCGCGCATCTTGCTCGAGGGAGTAACCATTTCTTCTATCCAAGAGTGTGCGTCCAAATGAGTGAACCACAACTGCAAGCAAGCTCGGCCCGAGCAGGATACAGAAACGCCAGTGTGGTTCAAGGACCCGGGGCCGTCAATTCCAAGTTGCGGCTTGAGCAAGCAGCATCCTCATGATTCAGGACCCGGATAAGTTCTCCCCTTGGACGTGGCGGAAGCAGCAGGGGCCCTGTAGTTGAATGGCAGACGGAGGGGGTCACGGCCTGATGAGGCAACCTCGCCTGACTTTCAGATGCAGTTGCCTGAGGCACAACTACTTCCTCGATCGCGGTGCGAAGCGCTGCCGCCACAAGTCTTTCTTCGAAGCCATGTGAGGATTGGGTGATGCAAGCCTGACAGGGGGGCAATGACCCATGGCATTCGAGAGCTTGCGTGTTGTCCAGTTGTCATTGGCAGTTGTGACGACGCTCGAGTCGCTCAAGTGATGTTTTGGGCTTCTATAGTCCAAAACATTGCTTGGCGCTGGTTGCCCGTGCCAGGTTTATGATGGTGTACAAAACGCCAACCATCGTGAGCACCGACTTGTTTGACTTGGAGAAGCTTGGCGCTCAAACCCACCATGTGTGGCGGGAGGGAGGGGGGCGGGGCGGGAAGCAGGACTGGCTTGAGTGTCGTCATCTTGCTGACCTTCAGGTACGGATGCTTTCAAGTTCGTGGATTCCAGGACACTGAAGGCCATTTCCCGACGCCTTGAGCAGTTTTGCGAGGTCAGGGGTGGGGACTGTGGAACGAGATAAGCTCTTGAAGATAGGCTCTTTAGAAGGGTGTGGGTATGGTACGGTGGTAGCAGAGTAGTAGTACAGTAGTGTGCAGTATTGTACAGTAGGTTTACAGTAGTACAATAGACTCACAGTAGCAAGTAATAGGGCAGCAGTGGTAGTACAGTAGTACAGTCGCGGTACAACCGTCGCAATACAGCAGTAATACACAAGTAGTATAGAAGTAGGACAGAAGCAGTACAGTAGTAGACAGAAATAGGACAGAAGTAGTTCAGTATCGGTACAGTAGCAGTACAGCAGCAGCACAGTAGTAGCACAGCAGTACTACCGTAGAATACAGAAGTATTGCAGACGTAGTACAGAAGTAGGACAGAAGCACTGCAGTGGCAGGTAGTAGTAGCACAGTAGAAGTACAGTACCAGCAATACGGTAGCAGTGCACTAACAGTACAGCAGCCAGTGGTACTCAGTAGTAGCACAGTAGTAGTACCGCAGAAAAACCAGCACTAATAGAGAAGTAGTACAGAAGTAGGACAGAAGCCGTACAGTAGTAGACAGTAGTAGTACAGCAGCCACACAGTAGCAGTACAGTAGTAGCTCAGTAGTACAGTAGAAGGACAGTAGCTGTACAGTAGTACAGTAGTAGTACAGGGCTTAGGGTACCTAGAGCTGGAGTTGAAGTGGCTTCAATCGGCTTCAACACCTCGAAACCAAACACCGAGCATTCCAAGATAGCTGCCATGAAAAGCCTTTATTTTGGAGACTTTTTCATCATCCTACACTCCCCCGACTCGACCAAGCCTGAGGCCTGCTAAAGTACTATAGGGGGGTTTAGGGTACCTGGAGTTGCTCAGGGGGCTTCAGAACTTCAAAACCTCGAAGCCAGACCCCGATCACTTCAAGATAACTACCAAGACTAGACGCCGCTCATTTTGAAGACTTTTTCCTTCATCCCACCCGACCCCACAATCGACATCATCCTCTACCCAGTCAAGAGTGACAAGAGTGACCATTAGCAGAAAGGAACGAGCAACAACACCGAAACCGCAGGGCGAACAAACACAAATGCATTGAAGAGGATTGCAAAAAGACATGCAAGATCCTGAAAAGCAACCGACAAAACCCAATAAAGGGTCACGTAATTAAACCCAGTGCGACATTACTCCCATTCTGTTGTCGGTCGGCACTACTTGCTGCTTCTCCCTCTCCCCACACGATGTCAGGATAATGGGATGCACAGCCTCGCACACACATCGCACGTTGAAGTTCCCATTGCAGGCATCACCAGCTACGTTTCCCACGTTGTCAGAAGTGCAGTCGGCATGCAGAAGGCCTGCCAGCACCCAAGCCTGATGCGTCCTTTAAGCAAAATGTCTCTTACCGTGCCAACTTAAAGGATACTTAACTTACCACGTGCCTGCCAAGTGTATGCGGTTGGTTCCAGCCCAGCGAGACTTGCAACAGTAGTAGCAGCCGAGCTGGCCAGTGTCGGCGCTAAAGCAAAGTTTGCCGCACCTGGGAAAGGTTTTGTGCATTCCCTTCTGCGCATGCGTGAAAGCAAATGTCCAGAGAGCACTGCGCAGGCTTTAAGGTTGGGAGTTGTGTCTGGCAGCTCAGCAGGTGGCTAGCACAGTGTTCGGCGGGAATGCACCGAGAAATTTGTGAAGCTAGCCGCTAGCCCCTGGATGGTCTGGCAGGAGCACATAAAGAAATGGTGGATACATCCGCGAATAGAGCGCGGACCTCAGCCGCAAGCCACGTCACGACTCCAAGAAAATCTCGGTATATCCGAAGTTCCTCCACGTAATCTGCCAGTATCCGACGGCTGCATGTGGTGAGCTTTCCTTAAGCTCCTGGGAGGTTCAATTCGCCGGTGTCACGAATTGGCGTGCGTCTCCAGGACTTGACCACAGGTGAATTGCACGGTGCTCAAAGCACAAGAGAGCCCTGGTCCTCCGAATCAGCGAAGAGAACCCGTTAGAACTACAACTTAGGAGGTGGGATGCGATGTACGACCTGGGCAAGGCGGCCACATCGCAGTAGAGACATTGAATTATCATGGAACCCTTGCGCCCAGATTTTGCACTGTTCTCCCCAGGGCCTGTGCCTAAACCTTGTACGTTGTTGCAGAGCGGAGGCCGCCTGGAAATCGCGGGAAGCGACGGAGGACGAACTTGTGATGCACCTTACCTCTTTTTGGCGACATTGGTGCTGAATTCTTGAGGAATCGACATGCCCAGAAGACGGGTGGCATTTGTGCGAGGATGTGGTGACCCCAGCCGTACGACACAGTTTGGCAAAGACTACCATGGCCGCAATGTTGGAGGAGGAACCGGTCGGCGGTGAACATCCCTTCTTCGCGCCGGATTGGTGCCCGGGTCCGCTGGTCTCTGAGGCAGTACGCAAGTGGATCTCCTTGAGGAGCTGTTCTATGTTCAAGCGCTCTGAAGTCGTTGGTGCTAGCAAAGGAATGACGGCATGTCCCACAAGTGCCCCAATATCTGTCCAGAGTAGTCTACATTGAGTCTACATCACCTGACTTTGTCATGCAATGTCTAGCAGACGCTAGCTGGCAGCCTCTGATATTTCCATGATGCATGCGCCAGTTGGAGATGATGCTTGTTGCCATCTATTTCCTCCTCGCCAGTGTGACCGAACCGGATGCCGATTGCCAGGTATCTTCTCACAGTGAGCAACCTGAGCTCGCGTGATTCGCCTGAGCAGCCCTTGGTCGGGGAGGCCGAGAGCATCCGACAGTTCTACTGGAGCCTTCATCGATGTTGTCGTGGTAGCCTGAAGCAGAAGCTTCATGAATCGTGTGGATTTGAGTCGTTCATCTCCCGAGCTTGCTAGCCAATGCTCGCAACCGTCGACAATGTATGGTCAGGTGCTCCGTGGCTACCCCCCCCCCCCTTCCCCCCTATGGTACATGGTCCAGGATGCCCCCCCCGCTTTGTGGGTGGTGTTTTTTGGGGTCCCTCTTGTGGTGCGGTTGTGGGGTTTTGGGGTTTAGGGTTCAGCTTAAGCTTTTGAGTTTAGGGTTTAGGGTTTAAGGTTAAAAGCTATAAGGCTTCGAGTCGACAAGAGCTTTGGGAGGGTGTTGGGTGTAGGTTGGGTAGGGTGACTGTTTAAGTTCTGCTTCAAGCTTAGGGCCTGCATTCAGGCATAGAGTTGGGTGTAAGGTTTAGAGTATTAAGTACAGGTTAAGGTTAATAAAGACAGGAACACGGCCTACGTTATATGGTTCATGGCTTGCGTAAGATCTCGGCCCTCTCTGTGACCCCTGGCCGTACCCCGGCAGCCCACAAAAACCGCCCCGACCCCTCTCCGCACATGCCAGCCCCCCCACCCATACCAGACCACTCCATTGGGGGGGCTGGGAACGCCAGGCCGCCAGACGTCTGACCATATATGCCGGCATGATGACATGCTGTCTGCTGCTGGCCATGCTAGCTCAGATGCTCTTCACGCAGTACGGGGTCAACCAGCTGGACAACACGTGACCGAAGAGATCCGATGGATCGGGTCGGATGGCAATTGTCCCTGTGACAGAGTCGAAAGTTTCAGTTAATTATCGGGTTCGGATGCGGCGATGCTTCTGTTGAGGTACTCCTTCGAAATGCATGCCCCCCTGTCTCTCACGGACCAAGGCCCGCTTCGTTTCGGCACTCTTTGCTTGTCCATCTTTTGCTCGTGCCGGCATCCCTGTGCCAGCCTACTTCACTGCGGTCAAAGGCACCTGCGCAGCTATGGTAGCAGACGTGTTACATCCAGATGCTGGCACAGAGAGGAATCGTATCAAGCTGCCATCTCCTGGCACCAGGAGCGAGAGAAGCTGCCGCCACGGCCAGGATGACGGGTCGAGTGGGCGGACCTGAGGCGAACTCCAGGGTTTGCCAGATCAGCCAGGCATTGCTTGGCCTTCGTCCTTAGCCTTAGCAGTCCACATTTGGATTTTCGGGTGCAACTTTCACTTTCGCATCCAGGGACTGGCCACGCAAGTGGACCGTGGAAAGGCCCATCAAGTCGAAGTTCCGTAGGGCAGCGAGCTCGGCGTGGCCACGACCCTTAAACGATTAAACTGATAGGTCCCTCACGAGATGGACAAGCTGAAAGAGCTGCAGAAATTGGAGCCACCCAAAGCCACTCAGCACAGACTAGCTATAGCAATCCTCGCCGCAGACGCAGCAGTGGCAGTCAGTTCGCAGAGTTTCAGCAGGCTGCGAGGTATAGGCCGCTGTGAATGAGCGATTGCGTGACTGCGTGACGATGGGCTTCGCTACTTTGAACCTTGCTGCCTACAGTACCAGCTCTGCAGAACTCGGGCTTATAAGATCCAGGTATTCTCTTAAGTACATCAATTGCTTCTGGCGTCCGCAATGGGAGAGGTGCCGTGAAACCCAGAGCACAATCCGTCGTTTCAGAACTGCTGCGTCGTTCGTCGGCCTGTAGACCTTTATCGGTATTACTGTCTTGGTCCAGGTGCGATCCGGGACACCCGTACTCGCGTGAGCACGGTGCATCAGTTCCGATTGTTTGCAACCGATGCTTCTTGAAGAATTCGTATCGAGCAAGTTGCCTCGCTGGCAGCCGAGGATGTGACAAGTGCCCCGGAAATGGCCACCTGGCACTTCCGATGTGTTTAAGTAGCAGAGTTACCGAGGCTTGAGGTTTTATCTACACAGGGCTATTACTAATGCTGCTACTGGTGCCAGTACTAGTACCATGACTACTGCTATTATTATTATTATTATTCTTACTGTTGCTAATGCTTTCTCTATTGTTAATGTCGTGAGTATTGTTACGATTATTACGATTATTACTACTACCACCACCAATTCTCATGCTCTTGCTACTGCAACTGCTACTGCTGTTACTACTCCTGCTTCTGCTACTGCTACCGTCCCTACTGCTCTACCTGCCGTACCTTGTACGACCTACCGCCGACGGCTACTAACCACCTCCCACCTCTTACGTCCTGCTCCGGTTCACGCTATGTGCAGTGCCTCGTAGCGCCATCGATCCTAAATGTAGGCAACGACAAACCCCAAAAATAGGTTCCCGTACAGGGTTTAGCGCGTGAGTTCCGCGTAAGTGACGTTAAAGTCGACATTGCCAGATCAAGGCCACCCCCGATGGACATCGTCAGCAATTCAACATCCTAAGATAACCTGAAGCAGCTCTACAGAAGCCCTGAAGCCGGTAGGAAAGACTCCCAGAAACTCTCCATTGATTAGGCCCCCAAAAGCTTTGCAATCGAGAACTTTGTCAACTTAAGACGGCCTTAACCCGTGCTTTCCAACTGTGGTGGCTTTCACGCAGCCCTGAAACCCCTAGGACGACTGCCAGAAGCTCTTACTTCTAATTCCCGTAACAACTTGTCATCGAGAAGCTTGTAGCTTATACCTCAGGGTTCTAACTTGCAAAGGTATGTAAATATGCCTTCGCGAAAGTTCCGTGATAGTGGCGCGAAAATTACTTCTTTATTCGTGAAGAGGGTCATTCCGGGATGAAGGATTTTAGAAAACACAGCCACACACACACACACATATATATATATATATCTATACATGTCTATATACATTATATGTATATGTACTGTAGTTCGGTATGGTATTAATAGCAATGATATTTATACATGCAGGGGTCCAGTCTCATATAAAGGTCCGTCTCTTCAAGTTGTTTCCTGGATTGGGCAGGCGAAGAGCAAGCTGGACAAAAGCCCGTACAGCAAGATGCTGGATAACAAGGACTTCGCCAAGACTTTAGCTTGAGGCCCGGCGGTTTGGTGGCTTCGCAGCAAGAAAAAGGCGTTTCACTGTGTGCAGGATGCCAAACAGGTGGCTAGACACCAGCCACCGAACCCGCAGGCTGACGACCTTTAAGGAAGGGAATGAGCAAACAACAGGACAAGCCCGAAACGGATGCAGAGCAGCCAGGCCTGCCAGTCAACGGAGGTGAAACCCCTGGCTTGAACCCGGTGTAGGATTGTGGAGACGGAATAGAGGTCACGGCTGGTTTTGGTCCACGAAGCTTCCGGGCATCTTCGCACCTACCGAAAGAAAGCAAGCCTGACTCAGCGTGCATGTTTACGAGGGCCTGTCACAAGTTACCATGCCCACTAGAGGCCGGAGCGAGGACGGGAGAGGGAGAGCCAGAGTCATACAGAAAGGCATGCAACAGGATAAATCTGAAAGAGCAGAGAGAGAACGAAGGAATTTGCTACTGCGCAGGCAGTTTTAGTGCATCGCGGTGCTGTTGAGTTGGCATATTTGTGCCGCCTTTGTGGGGAAATTGCAACCACATCTTCTGGCATAGCTATTGAAAACATGCAAAGCTGTTGGTTGGAAGCCCAGCTGCTGTAGGTGTTGTGTCTGAACGCATCGAAAGGTAAAGACTGACCTTCACATCTTGGGCTCTGTCAGACACCCCTTGAGACGGAGACGTTCTATGGACAATCTCACCAGCAGCTGCAGTGGATCATTTGGAGTGTGGCAACTGAGAGGCAGGACGCACCCTGCCCATCTTCAGCAGTAACACAGGTTCTGTTTGAGACAAGACGCATATTTGCTCATTTGTCGCCATGCCGCGGCTGGGTCGACGTCAAGGCCATTGGAAGACTGAGAGTTTACAGGACACTGACAGCTGAAGTGCTGTCGCCGTTCTGCAAAGCGGCCAGAAGTGGCTGTGAAAGTTGCAACAGCAGCAGACACTGCACTGAAGCATCGGGGGCATGTGTGCACGCACTACCATTGTAGATCTCGAGGCTCGTCTTTTGCCTTTCTTGGAGTTCTCGTCGCTTCTTTGAGCACGTTCTGCTTCGTGACCTGGGCAGCAGTTTTGTCGATTGGGCCGTGTCTGGGCTTCTAGTCCGTGGAGTTCTTCTCAAGGCGTCCGGTGTAGTTTCAGCAGTTCAGACATTCTCGAGACTGGACTTGTGATAGATTCCTTAATGGAGCTTCGGCTGAAGATGCTGAAGCCTGGCTTGCTTGAAGCAGGGCTTTCGTGAGGTATGTGGGCCGCACAGACTGAAAAAGATCGGCAACCCGCTGACGACGGATGCTTGGCGCCGCAGAGACCGGAGCATCTGCTCGTCGACAGTTGCTGACGTGCCGCCGCTCCTTGAAGACCTGGGTTCGGACTCAGGACATCCGACGATTCGGCGCAGTGGCTGAGGCACCTGCGCTGGAGGCCGGATCCGCACTGGCCCAGTGGGGGGAGTCGCAAGTGATGTTACATGATGTTACCCATTTTTGATTGAGGACTTGCAGACGCAGGCTGAGTCGGCCGGTCGCCTGACTTGACGTGGAATCAGTGAGAGGCACCGTCAAGCTTCTCCCATCCTCCGTTTACCAAACCGAGCCCTCCCTTCAGCTGCTCTGAGACACTCAGGAAACGTGACGGAGGACGAGTTCTGGCGCCTGGTTGACGACTCCAAGGTCTCTGAGGCCAGGCCTTGGCAGTTACTGCCCGGGCCGTAACAGTCTCACACACGACATCTCGTCGTTTTGCCAGGTTATCATTTCTTCTTGGAGCGAGAAGCAGCTCCTCGCTCGAGTGGAAGGCAGATTCAAGACTTGCCATTTCCATGCAGCCAGCTTCAACGAGGGAGGTCCCTATTGCTTTATCTAATTTACCTATATCTGAAATCTAGAAGGCCTCACTGATCTGCCTGTGTTTCTCTGTGCACAGGAGAGTTGGTGGCCGTTGTGGAAGAGGGCGAGGCAATCAATTGTGGAAGCTCATCGCACTCGGTCCCCTTGTCACAGCATGTGATCACGAGGAGACGTCTTACTGCCAGGTTGAAGATCTCCGAAACGAGCTGCTTGTCCGTGGCATTCCTGCAGCGAAGCTGCAATTCTCCCTGTCTGCCTGTGTCGAACAACATGCAAGTTGAGAAAATTACCATGCGAATCAGGTGCGATATCCGGCTGGAGAGGCGCAGTTCAGTCTTCAACTTGGGGAGAGGGAGATCAGGTTCGTGTCGCTTCTCGGGGCCCCCAGAAAGAAAGCGACAATGCACAAAGGCGCCTTTGCCTCACTCTTGAGGGAGGGAGCGTGATCTGCGGATCAAACACTCAGACACTTACTCAGACCCCTTAGGGCGTTAGTTTTTTTGGGTTTCAATAGGTTTACGGTCTGAGTATCTGCGAGTCTGGTTATTTCCGTTGCCTCATATGCACACTCCCTTTCCTTGGCTTGGGAGCATGGAGCGTCCGGTCAGGAGCTGAGTGACGAGGATGCGCTGGCGCGAGCTGAGTCCTGGCCTCAGCCTTCACGGTAGCTTTGCGGACAAGTCGTGTCAGACGAAGCTAGACGTCGCAGATTATCGCAGCTCATTCTGACCGCTGAGGCTGAGCTCCGAAGGTGCGGGCGCGAGCACAAACAGACGGCCTGTTGAACTTCGAAGATCACGAGACCTATCATAGGGCAAACGCATACAACGCAGAGGTCCCGTTGCCGGCGGCCTTCTTTCGGCCTTGGCACCTCGCTCAGCATTGAGCTGTCAGCTTGGCTGTGTGTCGTCATGCTTCTTGAAAGGTATGCAAGAGCAAGTCGCTTCTCTGTCGCTGCAGGCCCTCGGCATTGCGGACAGCTTAGTGGAGCGACCATGCCGCAGTTAATGAGCTGTCGGGAATTGTGGAAAGTGTCGGGGCACCGCAACTATTCGCACCAACGGTTGGCCACATTTGGCCACCGGAACACGAACATGATGCGAATGAGTAGCCAGCAGCAAAGTGCAATCGCGAATCACGATTCGAATTCTCTCGTGTTGGACTAGACTGAACTGTGACCCCTTATGTCGCAAGCTTGTGTGACTCTCACCAGTTTGCGGCAATTTGACCAGAAGTGCATTGATTGTAAGTGGCCTGGTGTTAAGTGGAGACTTTTTCCTTTTGTTTCGTGCGGTTTTGTCGCTTCAGGAGGGTGGCTTCAAAAATAGAGGTGGAAGGTGCAGAGGTGACGCGGGTTGATGGGCCACGGCTTCGGCAACCGAGTCGTCAACTGGCTCCGAACCTTTCGACTCATCCTTTCGATAGATCACTTGCCCTTAGCCTTGCGCTTTGACATCGGGCTCCCCTTCGTTTCTTTGCCTGCGCAGTAACTCGTACGACTCTTCCGGGCAGCTCTCAGGATCAGCGCTTCCGTTGCGGTTCCTGCGTTGGAGGTGGAAGGCTTCCGAAGCATTTCCAGGGATCCGGGAATCGGCTCTTCGTTTCGGGTTTAATGTTCACTTCCTAATAATAACATGCCCCCTTGATAGATTTCAGGCCTGGGCAGGGGGCAATGATTATTGAGGGGCTCGGTCGAAGTACAATACTACAGCAAGATCCGTGGGCGAGATTTTTATTGAGTTCAACGGATCGGGTGTTATAATTGAGGCGGGGGTTTATAATTGAGTTCTGGGGCCAATTTTTGTTCAATTAAGGGGGTTTTACACTTATGAAGTCGACATTAGGGCATTCGACCTTCAGGGCAGGAGTGAAGATTCGGAGTGAATCTGAAGATCGCGACCCCGACCCACCGTGCAGGCCAGTCCTTGATGGAGGCAAAGCCAGCCGATGCGGTGGTCGCGGAAGATCTCGGCTTGTTGAACAAGGCATCTGCTTGGAAAGCGTGGCTTGGAAGTGCTGCTTCGAACTGCTCGGTATGCGGTAGGAGTGCAGCTAGCAGTAGAACAAGAGTGCTGTGGTGCTGTCTGTGCTGTTTGGTGATTCCAGGATCTTCGCATCCTTGAGCGTGCGGTGGAAGGTGTGGAGCGCTCAGTGGAGGCTGACTTCCAGGCCGTCCGTGGCTTCGCAGACGTTGCCGATCGGTCTGTCAGCGGCGTTCTGGAAATTTCGCTTTGCGACAGTCTAGCGTGTCGCCGTGAATGCGTTCAGAGCCAGGCTGCTGAAAGCCTCGCTTCCCAAGAGGCTTTGCATGACAGATTGTGGCTGAATCTGTCATTCCGCAAATCCTGATTGCTAATACGGATGTGTTCATGATTGGAGTATATGCGGGCATGCACAGTCTGCAGTCGACCCCTGAGGTGCAAAACCTCTGACATGCAGACTCATTTGTGTTTGTGATATCCTGGATGCTGCTGCCGTTGTTTGTTCCGCAGCCATCTGACCAATGAAACTTATGTGACGACCTGCATGCTACCGTCTAGGCATTGACCCTGTAGAGGACGGCACCGCAGGGAGAGACAGCAAGAGAGAAAGAGAGAGTGGGGGAGAGAGAGCGAGAGAGAGTGGGTGAATGCAGGCGTCGCAATTGCGGACACATTTTTACACCTCTAGCCTCGCCGGAGCCGTCAAAGCACTTTCACACAGTCGGATCTGTAGTGAGCTGCATGTTGGATCTGTGTATTTGCAAGAACTCAGAGCCTGGTGACCTAGTGCATCGACCGCTCAACCCAGTAACCTAATTCCGGCCCTGCCCGGCGCTGATGGCGGATGAGGTCGGCCTCCGTCTACTAGACCATGGGAGTCCATGTGTAAGCATTTCCACATGACCGCCGCTTCCCGTGTCCGCCAGGCCGTTGCGGAGGCCGTTAGTGGAGGCACTTACTACCAGCTCCTTGGATGTTGCCAGAGTCTTCCCGGTGCCCTGCGGATATGCCGCGAAGCCATGGGTGTTTGAGCGAAAGGCCGGTGGCGTTGAGTTTCTTAGCCGTCGACGCCCAAGGATCCTGGGCGTAGCTCCAGATGCCAGCTCCGATGACATCAAACTGCAGTCGGAGACTAAGTCGACTAAGTTTCGACCCCTTCGCATGTAGTCGAGTTTCCGAAGTAGATAGGAGTAGATAGGCCTACATAGGCCTACCTTCCCAGTGTTTTTCGAAGGTGTCGTTAGCTCCGCAGGCAGACCTAAAGCACGATTCTGTAACTAAGTAACTAAGTAAAACTTGTTGTTCATGGAGATATCTTTTGCGGGTTTCAGCGACTGGAGGGTTGCATCCCGCAAGGTATCGGAAGCTGGCCAGGCACCCAGTCCATCCCAGTCTTGCCAAGCAGGATCACACTCGTCCGCTTAGGCTTTGAAGCTGCACCCAGTGACCTGGCCATCATATGTTGGATGTAGATTGTCTTAATGCTTGTCATGCAAGCAATTCTGCAAGAAGCTTGGTCTGTTCATTGATGCTAAATCTCAACATCGAGAGCTTCCGCAGCTTGTCCGGACTTCTGCTGCCGCTCACAGGACAAGAACCAGAACGACCCGCAAGCCACAGAGAAGTTCCAGGAACTACAGGAAGCCTATGAGGCCATCATGACGTGCAAATGTCATGACCTCGTGATAATCTTTGTATCATTAAAGCTTCGACGTGAGCTTCGATTTGGTGGGTGCTCGGGTAATCGTCCCCACGATGTCTCACCTCTCCAACTCTCAAAGAGCCTGTTGTAGAATGGAGGAGTGAATGGATGTACAATGTTGGAAAGTGCCAACGTGAAGCTGCAGGTCCTTTCAGATCCTGAGCGAAGATCCGCGTATGACCAGAACAGCGACTTCATCATGAGCCGTGCTGCCTTGCAGGGGCAATGGAGATAGTGGGGCTGTTTGCGTGTGTTTCGTGCCGAAAAGCGACTTGGCAGGAAGGCGTTCGCCGAGTCCACAGGCCAAACGGAAGAGCAGGAGCATATTGAATGCAGCTGCACCTTCTCGCTCTGGTTGAGATTACGAGAAATGTATCGATGTCGGTAGAGCCGCTCGAATCCGAGGTTGCAGTAATGCCGGGTGGGTTGGATATGGGGAATTTGGGTGCCGGCTTCGGTCGAAAGTTTGAGTGTGATTGGCTCTCGATGTATACTGTGCCGGGTGTAGCACAGAAACTTTCGATGCGTTTCGGCAACTGTTTTGATCAGGAGTCCTTTTTGGCAGCTCCTTAGTGGCAATGTACAAAAGCAGAGGAGCCGTTTGCTTCAGATGTGTTGCAACGCTTCTGAGGTGCCCTCTTCGCGCACCTTCTGGTGCCTTCTGGTCGAGGCGTGCCTCAGCGACGACGCGAAGACAATCGCTCAGTTGGCGCAGCAGCTGGAGGATGAGCTACTTGGAGGCAGTGAGATTGTCATGCAAAGTTGTTTGGCGAGCTCAGTCAGTATTGCCGGCACAGGTAGGATGCTAAGTAGCGAGATTACCCCGAAGAATCCGGTGCTGGATTGTTGCGCTGTTGCTTGCCTGAATTTGTCAGATGCTGCCTGCTTGCCATTGGGCTCACAGCAGGGGGGAATCCAGATGGGGGCATACTGACTATGGATCACATACACAGACTAAATCCTTCGTATAGATTTGCCTGGCTTGGTTGAGCAAGGCACACACCTCAACTAAAGCTATTTTTGCTTGAGATTCACGGCACTGTTGAGTTGCACTGACAGCTGCCGGATGGTGCTTGTGCGTGCAGCGGATCCGGACAGACTGCTGGGCTGGGTCACGGAGGTCTTGCCGTACGGCCTGCGACTTGCACGCTTCTTCCCAAAGGGTGAGAATTGCGAGTTGAAGGAGGCCGAGGTCGTTTTCGTCGCAGCAGCCCATGAGGTCCGCATGGATGTCCAGCAAGCCATCCGGAAGTTGCAGCCCCAGTTGCAGAATGAGTCAGAGGTAACTTGGGTCACCTTCCAGGTAGAAAGCAAGCCGGGGGTTCGCGAGGCAGAGGGTGCAGGACGAGCCAAGTCCGTGTCCTTGGCAACGTGTCCCAGCACGGCAGAGGAGTGGAAGCCGGCGAGCCTCATAAGCATGGCAAGCGTGAAGAGCGAAGAACCGGTCTCTGTGCAATCACTAACTCCTAAAGTAAGCTCTGTCATGGTACCCGCGGTAGCCCAGTGGCAGCGCCTTGTCCGAGCTCCTCAGAAGATGGAGGATGCTTTCAGGAAATTGGCGCACAGAACACAAGAAGCGCTCGCAGTTGTGAATGCCGACGAACTTGCACAGGCCGTTGTTCAAATCAGTGCCGGCATCTGCGCGACGGAGATGTCTTGCAGCCAATTGGTCCCAGATGGTGTGACAAGCTCTGCGGAGCAGGACGGCCTGCGGCATCTGCGGCCTTGGCTGGAAAAGTTGGTCTGCTTAGCCAGCCTGGGCCTGTCCGGATTGATAAAGGATGACCGGTACCGAAGGAGGCAGAACCCATGCTTTCTGCCAGCCTTGCTGCTGTGCCGACAGCTTGTGTGGCAGCGCAGGAAGCCGTTACCTCGGTCTTGGTTAGAGCTCCAGAAATGGGTGAACTTGGGACTGCGGCGTGGAGAGTCGAAGCCTTGGCACGCCTGCAGCGTGGATGGCTGTGACGCGCTGGCCGCCGGGCGTGTCCAGCATGCGGACGACTTCGGCCCGGCTGGCTGGAGGTGTGTAAGGCATGGCGCCAGACGGTGTAACGTCGAGTCATGCAAGCGCTTTGCCAGAGCCGTTGTCCGACTTCAAGACAACAATGGCCCTCCAGGGAGAAGATGTGAGCTGCATTCCGGGGGCGCGAAGTGGTGTATCGTAGAGGGGTGCAATCGCTGGCCTTGTGAATTTCGGAGGCGTGCTGACAAACATGGGCCAACAGGCTATCGCTGCCAGCTGCATGGAGGGGGGTGCACCGTGCCTGGATGCAGAAAACATGCTTGGGGACGTGTTGAAGAGACCGACGGCCACGGGGTAGCTGGCAGAAGATGCTGGCAGCACGGAGGAAAGGTATGTGGCGTTTCCGGGTGCACTCGGCCACCACGCAGACTCGTGAAAACGGCTGATAGATTTGGGCCGCCGGGCATCTATTGCGATAAGCATTCGTTTAGATGCTCCCGGCGCCTTGGGCCAAAGACCAGAAAGAACTCACGGCCAAGGCCAAGGCCTGCGAGGGCGAGGGCGAGGCAGCACGAAGCGGGGCCTCTTCAGCCTCCTGAAGCGGCTCGCCCAGGCCCAACTGCCTCCTCTCTCCCCATGGTGCCAGAGGACGAAGAGGCAGCTCAGAATAATAAGCCGAAGTTTGAGCGCATGTGTGCAATCTGCATGACAGTCGCTGCGATCAACAAGTTCCGCTTCTGCAAACCGTGCAAGCGAGATGTGAATTGTTGCAAAGTTGATGCGGAAAAGGACGGACGACTGAACGATTGGAATCGTCTGGCCAAAACAGCAGAAGGACTGCGCCACTTGGTGCTCCACTACCAAAAAACGTGTCCTTCACGTGGGCAAGGAGTTCGGCGTGACCCCTTCGACTGGGCCGCCTACACCAACAAAATCTTCACGACAAAGCAGAACATCTCGGTTTGTCGCATCTCAGACGGAAAAGGCTACAGATGCCATCGTCCAGCAAAGCGAGGCCGCACACTCTGTCAACACCACTGGAGCTTAAGGCAACAGTGGCCATGTAAGCAGAAAGGCATGCAAGAGGCGGCTGTCAAAATGAGCTTGCCGGGCGTTTTGCTAGGCGAAGCAGGCACACTCGAGACAAACGAGACGTGTAGTGGGAGCTGTCGAGCTTAGGCTGTCTAAAGCATGTCCGAGGGTGCTTCATGGGATTTGCTTTTGCTCCATGTGCTCAGCGGTTTCCAAGGATATGGGACGAGTTGTCCAGAGGTGGGCGCATGTTGCAACTTATGCTTGGCCGATGTGCTTAGCATTTGATCCATCGGGGTTCGTTTACTGTTGAACGCTGGAACGGAGAACGAACGGACAAGAGAGCTGCAGGTGGAGTGTGTGGCTTCTCGCCGCTTCACTTCGCTGCCTTTGCAGGCAAGGCAAAGTCCTGCCAAGCGCTGAGCCCCGGATTCAATTTAGATATAGATCAAGGAAATCACGCAGGCTCTCTCGGAGCGCGAAGCTTTGTTTATTAAATACCTCACGGCGTGAGCCTGGGATTCTACTGCCGTGTTGCCACGTAGGGCTTTTGTGATCCCTATTAATGAGGCTGATATTGGCTTCAGACATGCTGATTCTTTCAAGTCCTGCTCCTCTTATG